AACTGGACCGGTACTCACCGGTCTAGTAAATTGGAATCGGGAACGGCCGATTCCGGTCCGATTTGGTTCTAGGTAGTCCGGGCAGTTATCAATTCATTTGCACACTCCTAGTATGATGAAACTATGTTATGTCACAACCGAATTGTAAAGTGTCGTGACTTTGCACATTTTGTCATATCGTTTTGAAGACGCTGCACTCCAAAAAATTGAGCAAGAAGGTTTTTCAGATACTGTTGTTTTTTATGTTCCCGGAGTACTCGGGCAAATGTTGTAGTTATAAAAAGTCTACCAATTTCTTATAAATGTCGATATCTTTTTACATAGTCCTAGGTGCAGCAGAAAGTCAAACGGGCTCAGAGTATGAATGAAAACGAGATCAGTTAATCAAATATGAGAAAAGATGTTAACGATCACACGTGACGTTAGCATAGTACACGGCATCGTGAAGAGGAGTGAAACTTATCTCGAACCGATTTCATAAGAACCAAATCAATTACAGCCGCTGAACATGCGAGTCACCAGGCGTACAAAATCGTACATGGCCGATGGACCTGGTTTGCATGTCCTGACCCGATAGAGAGGGAGGTAAGCCTTGCATGGACTCGGTTTCATTGATCCAGATACATCTCGATTGGTGGTGATCTTGTGCGACCCACACACGGGGGTCCATACGATCGACGAGCGCTATGGTTCAAGTTTTGCGTGGATGCGAATCTAGACAAGTATTTGTCAAAAGGCGAGGCTCTCGGAGGGCACAGATGGCGTCGTCGGATTGGTCAGAGAAGTGGCTTGCGACAGAGGATTGGGGATTGGTTGGTGCAATTCCCACTGCGAAGAAACACAAGTCGGGGCCAGTTGTGAGACAATTATTATATGAGGCCAATCAGGTGAACGTCAGCTCATCCGACTCCACCTCTTTTTTTCACTTTGCACGACCACTGAAGCTTGTTCGTGATCCCACTCATCAGAAACCTTTTCCCTTACCTCGCAAGCATCAACTCGAAAGACCCACTTCCTCATTTAAGTGTGAGTGTGATTTCATTCTTGTTAGATCCATGAATTCGATTAAAGTGTTTCACAAGATGAATAATTTTTTTTTTTTTTATGACCCAGGGAACCCCCGCATGGCCGACAGCCGGGAGGTAAACCCTGGGGGCGACACGTGCTAGCCACCACACACGTGCACGTCGGCACTAAGTCACCCTGCGGCACCCGGGATTCGAACACTCAACCTTTTGCGAGAGGAAGAGTGCGCGCTCCAGCAGCGCCACCCAGGCGGATGATATGAATAATTTTCTTCATAGTTGATTTTTCCATGAATTACGACGGAGTAGGCTATGGTGAAACGGATAGGAATGAGCAGTTTCAAAGTCGGTCCAAGTTTCACCCGTGACCCGAAATCTACTCGTCAGATCCGATTTCCAAAATTTTGGAACCTAAAACCTACATTGCATACTTTGAAACCTTATCTTATCACATGTTTCAAAGTTGGCTATAGAATCTATCCAGGTTCCACTTATATTTTTATTGAACGATTGCAGTAAATCATCACTTCCAATGACCACCATTTATTGCTACAATTTGCTAACTACAACTCATATTTAGAAACGCGAAGAATACGAAACATTAACAAAGTGAAAATCTCAATTATAGATATTGCCAGAAATAAAAGTTCATACTAGTGGTTCTAAATTACACACTCATCATAGAACAAGAAAAACACCAAAATTTGTTCTCGAAACTTATCCGTCGGAACTGATTCTCCAATTTTTAAAAACTGAAATCTATCTGCACACCTTGAAATCTAGAATGGGACTAGTCTAGAAAACCGTCTCCAGTTAATGTTGGGGTTGGCACTTTCCAGTGGTCAACAAAGAGAATTTGAGACAGTTTTTTGGAGCCCTTGGCCGACATTTAGGGACGGATATTACGTTCGTGTGAGAAGATATGAATTAGTGACCGTCTCTTCCATCACTAAAGCTCCTTGAGAAATCTCTTCCCCACTTTACTCATTGCTATGGTAACAAGCCCCGCAGCAACACAAGGACGTCGGCTTTAATGCGAGCCGTCCCTGAAGAGGTGCTCTGAAGACAGCTTTGACCATCCATGAAGTGGCATAAATGTTTTTCTTAGGCCAGATTGCTCCGTAATGGGAGTTTTTTTTGTATAGAAAGTAGATTTTGCTGCATCATGCATATCATGCTAGATAAATAAGTCGACAAATCATGCAACAGATACTAGAATTTAAGTGAACTTCTATAATATGAGAATCATTAATATCTAATATGAGTGGACAAAACAAAAAATAATGCGCATCCTATATCAAATAACCGAGATATCAGTAATAGCAAGATCCTAAAACATAAATTAAAAATAGTATAAATTTGTTCATTCAATTATTATTATTTTATTTAGCCTCAGTCTCTCCACAATGAACAACTAAATTATTTTCGTAGAATGAGTTTTGATAACAACTTGTTATTGGAATAGAACGTTGACAGGTAAAGAAGAATCACTGGTTGAGTAATCAAAGTGGAATCAAATGATAACCTCACAATTGATTGAACCTGCACTGCTCAAGATCACGATAGACCACAAACTTGGCTGTTTGTTGCATCCCGGGAACTAGGGTAAGTTCACGCATTGGCCGATGAATCCAAGTTAGCGATTTAAGAGGATAAGATCTGTAGATAGATACTTGCATGTTGGTTCCTTGTAGAGGTTTTTACTTCTTGTCAACTGGAGTGGATTGTATTCTTATGTTGGTGAAAATGATATATTCTTTGTATTTTCGGAAATCTCTCTTTGAATGACCCTGCAATAATAGATTCAAAATAACGTGAATGAAGTAGTAGCTGTTGGAAAGTAAAGAAGGGTTTCTTTTACCTGAAAAATGAGGATGTCAAGCAGAAGTAACACCAGGCACAACTACAAGGGCCGGTGTACAGACATCGTTTTTTCTCAGCCACATATTTAAGTCCTCTTCCTCAAGTGTCATTTATTTAGAGAGAGCGATGCTACTGAGTCGGGAGGGCCCAATGAAAGCTTCCTACAGGGACTTGGTCATGTAGATTTCATTATTAGTGTAACAGGAGAATCACACGTTTGGATGTGGACCCAGCTTCTTCCATGGCTACCATGGTCTCTGGGCCTATAGTCCCTGTAACTGTAGCTCTCAACACATTCAAATGAGCTTTCCAGAGTTTGGCACTCTTAACTGGTAGTTACTGTCTAAAAGCAATGTGAAAATAATTTGGAAGACCAAAAGCTAATAGTTTAGAGGCAGATTTCTTGAGTGCTTTGAGACGTGGGATGGTCCAAATGCGATGAGCTAAGAAAACACGGTGAAATCGAAAGAGGGAGGAGCTTGTGAATGACCGGACCAAGAACAACGAGGCCAATCCACGTCCACATGAAATGAAGTACCTACGCTCTCTGCCATGGTCAGACCTGATACGTCACGCGTCGATGTGGATTCGAAGTGCTGCACATGTTTTCACAAAAATCTTCACGTTTTATTCCACGTCCACCATCAACTTCACGTTTTATTCCACGTCCACCATCAACTTCACGTTTTATTTCGAAACCAAATCAGAAACCACACCACATGATGATAGACATCTCCATTCTTAATCAAGTGGCAGCACTGCATGGGGCCGTGATAGCGAAAAGGGTGTCGGTAAAACACTTTCATCGCTCAGCTATCAGTTGACTGTTCTATCTACATATGGGAAAATATGGGGCGGTGCAATCAGCTAAGGTTGCGCATGGCAACTTGCCAAATAGTATTTGATTCTGTTCTTTTGTTCCCAGAATCGGTTTGGGAATAGAAATCCGTTTGTTTAATTTTTTGATTCTGGGCACAAATTCTTGCAAATTTGTGCCCAGAATCAGTTTTGGAGCAGAATCAAGAATAAAAAAAAAGTAGCTTCTTGATTCTAGGAACAAAAATGAGAATCAGTTTTTTTTTCTTCTTCTTTTTCTTGGTTTTTAATATAGCTTCTAATGTCTGGTGTGAGAGCCACCCTCGCCGTATCTGGCGATACTAAAATATTTTAATTAAAAAATATTATTAATAAAAAAATTTTACCAGCCATGGCCAGCGACCAGGCCATGACGAAAAAAAATAAAAAACATATTATTAATAAAAAAAATTTTACCGGCCATGGCCAGCGACCAGGCCATGGCGAAAAAAATAAAAAACTATTTTCAATAATAATATTTTTTATTAAAATATTTTACCGGCCATGGCCAGCGACCAGGCCATGGCAAAAAAAATAAAAAAAAATAATTTCAATAAAAATATTTTTTATTAAAATATTTTTTAAAAAATTATTAATAAAAAAAGTATTTATAAGAAATTTTTTTACTGGCAATGGCCAAAAAAATAAAAAAATTATTTTTAATAAAAGTATTATTAATTAAAAAATATTTTATCGGCCATGGCCAAGGAGGAGAAAAAAAAAGAAAAGAAAGAAATATTAAAATATTTAAAATGTTATTAAAATATTATTAATAAAAAGAAATTTTATGCCATTACCAAACGCATTTCTGTTCTTTTACTATTTCAGGAATAGAAATTTTGGGCCGTTCTAAACGCCTTCAATCTCGAGAATCGGTTCCGCACATAATAAAAAGAATCATTTCGATCGAATGCATTTACGGTACGGAATGGTTGCCATGCACAGCCTAAGCTTCTTCCAAATAGGTATAACCTTCCTGTCCGAAACAAGTGAGGACAAAGCTATGATGGGAAAATGAAAGGTGGAGAAGCAAAACACAAAAATGCATGATAGCTTGGATAGTCTGCACCATTTGTAGGTGAAAGAGCCTCTCCAAAATTCTGTACAGTACACATGTTAAATGCCGTCGATCAATTGGCCCGACAAAACCCGATGATAATGCATTTACTAAGCAGTTTCTTGCCTATAAATACCCATTCATAAGGTCTTTGGCACTCACAGAAAAGCCTCGTGCTCTTCATCTATATTGATCAAACATCTGAATCTCATTAGAGATAGCAGAAAAAGATATATGTCTCTTCAGATTTCAGCAATTCCATCTTCTCCTGCAGCCCAAGAAACAAGCCATGTGGTTGAACGCCGGTCAGCAAACTTTCACCCAAGCATATGGGGGGATTACTTCCTCAAATATGCCTCTCGCTCCTACTCAATGGTAGGAATTTAATACATTGCTTCTGACTCAACTATATATATATTATGTGAATAGTAATGGCATAGCACGTGAAAATATGTGTATATATCTGATGTAACACACACTATCGATGTCACAAAAAAGTAATTAATTTCAGCCTTAACATGGGTTAATTTAGATGTCCAATTTCGGAATCCAATGGTAGGATTAGCGTCACTAAAATGCAGATGTGGTGGATGAGATTGATTAGACACTATGAAAGAAAGCCACCCTTTTGCGAGGGATAGGCTTGTTGAAGGCTACTCCACTGTTTTAGGGAGTACATTTTCATGATGAATTTGTCCATTACCCAACGATGTTTATTCTTCAGCTGCTTAGAATCTCGATATTTGATAATAATAGTTGAACGCATAGATACGAAACTTTAGTAAATATGGAGCAAATAAATAATGTGAGTTTCACTCTAGATCTACATGATTATTGATGGGGATTAACTTGATTTACATTGATAGACCATACAATACTTTTTATATGTATATGGCACAATTTATAACTTTTTTCCAAACCCAAAGAAGACTATGTATATCTAGTTTAAAAAAAAAAAAAGAGAGATGAAGTTATGAACACTTCGAGTATCCTACATAGAACTCTATTTTGGAATTCAGTGGGTCATGGTTCAATACCGTGGTTAAAGATCTGTTGCCTCTTATTATATAAATGTAATTACCAAAAAAAGTCATAAACCTATTGAACCTGTATCAATTTAGTTTTAAACCTTTTAATTGTGCCAATTTAGTCAAAAATATTTTCACGTTTTGCTAATTGAGTCTATTTGGTCAATTTTAGTCAGAAATCGCTAACATGAACGCTAACCATTTTACGTGGCACGACTAATACTGACGTGAATAAATTTTAATATTTTTTCAGTTATTTTTATTTTTATTTTATTTCTTTTATTCTTCTCTTCTCTTTTCCTTTTTTTTTTTTCACTGTGGCCGTCGACACTGAGCGACGGCCACGAAGCCCTCGCCCGGATCTGGTCGAGGCAATCACGGCCACGGGCAAGGCCAACCTTGCATAGCTAAGACCTTGCCGTCCGCCAATGAAGGCGACCATGGCCTCACTAGCCGCGGGTAAGGCTGCCTTCACCTAGTGATCGGTGAGCTCCAATGACCCTCACTGACCGTAGTGGGAAAAAAAAAGAAGGAAAAGAAAAGAAAAGAAAAAAGAAAAGAAAAAAATTTTAAATTTTTTTTAAAAATTGTCCATGGCTAAAGATTTGTTGTCACTTGCTGTAGTCACATAGGATATCCTCATCATAGGATGAAGAGATGTGTTCATCCAACTCTAGTCCTCACCGTACCAATTCCAAACCCCACCAGACCTCTCTCTCTCTCTCTCTCCGATCCTCCTCTCGACAGCAACTTGATGTTGCATCTCCTGTTGCCCTCGCCACTGGCGAAGTTGCCTTCGCCGCCTCCAAGACGAGCCTTGGCGACATGTCTGAGCCGCACCACCGTCTGCCATCGTCCTCATCATCTCCAGGCTGATCTCTCTCTCTCTCTCTCTCTCTCTCTCTCTCTCTCTCTCTCTCTCTCTCTCTCTCTTTGAGATCTTGACGTCGCGATTGAGTCTCGCGGCGATAGAGGAGCCGCCACCCTCCATGGCCATGGAGGTTGAGCTTATAGATCTGGAGGCATTGGCTCCGAATCTAGAGGAGGCAGCCTCTCACAGGCCGGGAGAGATCATGAGACCGCTTGAGCTCCACCATCGACATGGACATCGAGAAGAGAGAGAAAGAAAAGAGGGAACTTGCTATTGGGTAGGGGTGAGCAAGATGGACCACCCAAATTGGGACCGGAAGATGGACCACCCAAATTGGGACCGGACCGGACCGACCGGTTTGGTCCGGTTCCTGGAAATATCAGTCCGATTCCCGGTTCCTAAAAGTAGAACCGCTTTTCGAGTTGTCCGGTTTCCGGTTCTAGGGTGGGAACTGGACCGATAAATATATATTTTTAATTTTTTCATATATATAATATTCAATATATATATAATATTTAATATTAATCCCATTGGAACTGATTGTTCAATTTTTTATATATATTATATATATTTTTCCAAGTTTTTCCACGGCCTTATGGGATCAAATCAGAACTACAAAAGAAAGAACGAAATAATCGGTTCCTGGTTCACAAATAATATTTAATATTGGTCCCATTGAAACTGGACCGGACCGGACCATCGGTCCGGTCGGTCCACAGTCCCAAGACTAACCGGTCCGGTCCCCGGTCCTAGAAACTGGGGACCGATTCTACCGATCTGATTCCCGGTTCTTGGGTTGGACCAGACCGGACCGGACCGGGAACCGCTCACCCCTACTATTGGGACGGTGACGACAGTAGAGTAGCGGATGTCGACGACGCTGGAGGCTGCAAAACATCTGAGCTCGTGGGAGGGTTACCTCCCCAATTACGCTGCTCCCCCCACTCATTGGTAGGACTCTTTTTTTTTGGTCATAAATGGTAAGACTTAAGTTGCTGCGCTTTTCTTAGCGTAATTTTATCGTTCAAATGTTGCTACAAACATCCATTACTTAAATAAGCCAAAAGCAACATTATAGGAATAGGTCTTGGGCCAATGAGCTTCTCATGCACCTAGTATCAGAGAGAAATTGACATGTTTTTCTCTATTATGCGTAGGAATATGGCCATGATCAGCAGGCGGAGCAAGAAATCCAGAAGCTGAAGGGCGAGGTGAAGAGGATGCTACACGTTGATGCAGACAAGCAGTCCCTGAAACTGGACATGATCGATCAAATACAACGATTAGGCATCGCATACCACTTCGCGAGCGAGATTGATCACGTGTTGAAACGACTTAATGAGACATGTTTTCTTCGCAACGATGGAGATCAGGATATCGACGACCTCTTCACGGCCGCTCTCCTCTTCCGATTGTTGCGACAACAAGGCTACCAAATTTCGGTGAGTTGCCCTTCCTTGTTTTTAGTTACTCAGCCACAAAATTTGATGATTGATATACTTTGATCTTTTCCCATTGTCTAAAACCGATCCTCTTTGCCTTTCTCTACCGTGGATTGAGGTCATTCGACAATCAATCACCTGAAGTTATAGACGACCCACCCAAGTTATTGCACAACAGGACCCCCAAAGCCACAATCCGATAAAAAATTGAACCCTCGTTCATATGTTGGTTGTTATTGTTACTATCTACTCTTCCAGTAAACCAAACGTCACCGGCGTTTAAGACCACTCGTGAAGAATCTTTCTGACTAATAGGGATGTGTACAATAGAAATCTTTATTTCACTGTGATCTATAAGCAGACATCTTTAACAAGTTCAAGGACACCAGTGGAGAGTTCAGTGAGAAACATGCAAGTGACGTACGGGGATTACTAAGTTTGTATGAAGCTAGCCATCTGAGTGTGCATGGAGAAGATGTTCTTGATCAAGCGCTTTCTTTCAGTTTAACCCATCTTGAATCCATTAAGGAGCAACTAAGCCCTCCTCTCGCAACACAAGTCCATCATGCCTTAGAGCAAACAATTCGTCGAGGGGTGCCGAGGCTCGAGGCCAGACGATACATCTCCATGTACGAAGCAGAACCTTCACATAACGAAGTCCTGCTATCACTAGCCAAGTTAGATTTCAACCATTTGCAAAGGCAACACCAGAAGGAGTTAGTTGATCTTGCAAGGTTGATCAATTATGCAATCGCATGGTTAAATTGTTTTAGTGTTTATACTCTATGGAAGGTTCATATGAATATTGCCATTTTACGTGTAGGTGGTGGATGGGTTTAGACTTCAAGAGGAAGTTACCATTTGCAAGAGACAGGCTCGTGGAAGGATACTTTTGGATTTTAGGAGTTCATTTTGAGCCCGAATTAGTGCTTGTTAGAAGAATGATGACCAAAATGATCGCAGTGACTTCAGTTCCTGATGACATATATGATATCTACGGCACCTATGAAGAGCTAGAGCTCTTTACTCAAGCAATTCAAAGGTTTGATTCGCATATCTGCAGCGCATGTAGCTTATTATTAAAAATACGTCCACGTTAGCTTTGGCCGTTCCACGTAAAACAAGCAGCATTCATGTCAGCAATTTAAGAAAAAATTGAAAAAGGTTTAGGATTAAATTGATTCAATTGAAAAGTTTACAACTAAATTGGCACAAATACAATATGTTTAGGTATTTTTTTGTACTTTGCCCTGAAATACTAGATGTGGCAAAATGTCTCTGAATCAATAACTTTGTGTATAAAAGATAAAGGAGTTGATTGATCCCTTTTCATAGTTATCATAAGGGTAATATAGTGATTCCCAAATCCTCATGCGATCTGAAGTTTAAAAATATCACGTAATGTATACCCTATCTTATAATATCTTATCATTTCAGGTGGGACATTGATTGCATAAATGAACTTCCAGAGTACATGCAAGTGTTTTACAAAGCACTGATCGATATCTACGTCGAAATTAGAGGTGTTAAAATGGGTCTTAAACCCATATATGACCCATTTAAAAATAAATGGGTCATATATGGGTCACTTTTATTTTAAAGAGCCAACCTTAAATGGGTTTTAAATTTTAAAGCTTAAAGATAAATGGGTCTAAATGGGTTGAGTTTGGAACCCATGTCCAATCCACCTACTAGACCCATCCACACACTCTCTCCCTCTTTATAAAAATGTTTTAAAAAAATCAAAATTTAATTATTTTTATTTTTTCTCTTTTTCTTTTATTTTTTATTTTTTCTTTTCTCTTCTTTCTTTTTTTTTTTTTTACTTCGGCCGGTGGTCGGCCACGGCGACCGGCCACCGGGGCGGGACGACCTCGCCGGAGGCCGGCGAAGCTCGAGGTTGCCGGCCTCGGGCGAGGCTTGAGCCTCGCCGATCTGGCGAGCCTCGAGCTCGCCCGATTCCTGCGACCTCGAGGCTCACCCGATCCCAGCGAGGTCTCGGCCTCGTCGACCTGTGGCGAGGCTCCAGCCTCGCCGATCTGGCGAGACTCGAGCTCGCCGGCCTCGAGCGAGCTCGACCTCGCCGGATCTGGCGAGGTGGAGCCTCGCCCAAGGCTAACTTTTGTACAACGCTCACTTTAGAGTCAAATTTTTTTTACAAATCACTTCATTGTCGTATTGGAGGAAAAACAATCACTTAAATGCATCCGGTGACAAATCCGGCAAAAAGTCTTACACGGCTCAATTAATAATATGCTAATTTCTACGTGACCTTTTTTTTATAAAAGAAGAAAGTTCAACATGGACGACGACTTGTCTCTCTCTCTAGCAAAAAATCACCCCGAGTTTCTTCATTTTTCATCGTCTTCTCATCATATTCATTCATTTCTTGAGTCACAGAGAACATCAACGATGCCACACTCGCCGGAGCATCCTCAATTATCCACCACCTTTGATCAATGCAGGAGCTTCTTCGAGCTACGCCAAAGCATCGAGCTTAGGCACGAGACCATCCTCTTTGGTGAACACGATCATCGCCAGTGCCGGTGCTCTCAGTTGCGGAAAAGGCTCTATCTAGCGATATAGACTCTTCATCATCACCAACATCAGCCACCCTTAGTTGCTACATGAATAACAAGTGCAGAAGTCTTGATTATACTAAAAATCACAATCTTTGGTTTCTTTTTCGCTTGCCACTGACGCACACATGCGCATTCCCATACTCGTGGAAGCTAAGCTTGGCCCTGCCAGATTATTTAATCAAACGAGACGAAAAGAAATGGCAAAGAAAAACGGAGGTGTTAGTGATATTTGCATATTTTCCTGATTTTGTATATCTCTTAGGATTATGCATATATCTCATTTAATAGTTCATGTCCTTGATTGATTATATTTGATATTGTGTTTATATTATTACCTTAGATAGCCATCTCATAAAGTCTATAAATAGACTCTTCATGTAATATTTTCCATATATTGAAATATACAAAATTACTCTTTTCCGCGTATCTCTCCAATTTCTCAACCGGAGAAAGGACAACGGGAAACGGAGATTGGATTTGCAGACAGATAGGTAAAACGAAAAACCAAAAATAAAAGGGCTTATTCTCTATCTCTCTCTAATCCACTATACAAAAAAGATTACTAAAAGCGAAAAAGGGAAGCGCAACTACCGCCATAACAACACATAACAACTGATTCTTCCATGAGCAACTAGATAGCCCCAGTATACGTAGAAGTGTAAGAATAGCTCCACAAAACACATAGTCGCATTCGCATCGTCATTTTCTCTTCTAATTTTAACAAGTGGAGAAGAAAAAGAAGGGAATCTCAAACAAAAAGCCATGGGTTCTGGAATGTAGCTCATCCCCAATCACCATCGTAAGATCCAGCTCTTAATTTTTCCTCAAGTTGCCTCCATTTGAATTAGGGTTTGAAGAAGAGGGGAAATGGCTCGATTTGTCCGAACTAGGGTTTAAATTTAGGGCAAACAAATTTAGCATCATCGTTTATGGTATTTATGCTGGCTCGAAGCACCAGTGTCCACATTGGATTTCCGGCATCCCAAATCGAAGGTGACACTTAAGTGTTCGTTTTTTTTTTTTACCAAAATAGCACGTCAAAAAGTTTTGACACTGAAGTAAGTGTCGTACAGAAATTATGGTACTTCTAATGTCTTTTTTTCTGGTAAGAACTATCACCATGTAAATGGATTTTCAGAACCAGATCAAATCAATGCGGACAATCACTCTCTTGAGAATAGCCTCATAACGAGACTAGTTAGATACGGATTCTATCATGACAAACAAAGTGATGATATATTTAGTCTAGTGGCACGCCTTGGGTCATAAGATCATTTCTTATACACACAACAACTAGCATAACCTACCCATGACTTCCTTACATTTATCAATGATGCATCTAACAATTGCACTTACACTTTGAGGGGAAAGGTGTTGGTAGATCGCTTACAGCATCGCTAATTAACTTATTAGTTGACAGCATTATATAAAATAAGTGTCTTCCATATAACAAACGAAAGAGACTGAGCAGAGCCTCTTCTTGCAAAATGAACAGTGGAGGAGCAATCACAAACATGCATTGGCTCTGACAGTCCGCACCGCAGTTGGTAAAGTTCTCAGGGAGCTCTGCTATTTCTGTGGCCGCATTCGTGAGCTATTTAATTCCTCACTTAATATCCGGGTCTTGTCGAGATACCATGTTATTCACGACGATTCCTCACTTAATTTCCGGGTCTTGTTGAGATACCATGTTATTCACGAGCGTCGTGAATAACATGGTATCTCAACCTGTCAACCAGTCCTCGAAATTAAGTGAGATACAGTGAGACTCGTCAGAAATATGGAAAGAACGTGTCTTGAGTTTGAGAAATAAACGTTTGCCTTTTCTGTTCCTCATCCTCCCAACTTTTGGGACATAGGATTCTATAGCCTATAAATACCCATCGATAAGTTTTCGACACTCACAGGAGAAACCCCAACCCTCTAGTGTTCTTCATCTTTTGGTCAGACACCTGAATCTAAGAAATGTCTCTTCAGATTTCAGCAATCCCATCTTTACCTTCTGCTCAAGAAACAAGCCACGTGACCGAACGCCGGACGGCAAATTATCATCCAAGCATATGGGGGGATTACTTCCTTAAATATGCTTCTCCCTCCAACTCAATGGTCAGTAATTCTGCTTTTATCTTCTACTTTTGTTTTCTTGCAATTGCAATTGGTAGACCTACTTCCATATCATTTAGTTCCACCACATCGCTTATATGATATAAATTGCTCTCATATATATACATGTTCCCCTCTCCGCACAAAAAGATAAAGTTGAAAATCATAAAAAAGAAGAAAGAAGGTCGAAAAACAACAATAATACTTGTAACTTCAGTCCAAGGCACACGCTTAAAGCTTCACCGACCACAGTATGTCCTCTGCTACAAGAAACATCTCATTATGTCATTAACTCCCTCCTCTCATATGGTCATTGTTCTCATGGGTCCGATTTCACATGTAATGTGAATGAGCATATAACATCGAAATACCTAAATAGGGTATACAGACGGGGCCATCAAAATTAAGTAATTTTGTAAAGTATGTGAGATTTTGTAGGATCACTGCCAACTGTGCTAAAGCTTAAGCTGTTAGATAAAGTCGTGGTTATATTTAATTACTCTAACACTCCCCCTCACGCTTAGTCTTGCCTTTTTGCCTAGCACTAAGCTTGTACATATATTTAATTAGAGCATAGAAAGATTTGAACTTAGAACCTCTAGCTCTAATACCATGTGAGATTTGGTGGGACCACAGTCAACTGTTCTAAAAGTTTAAATTGTTAGATAAAGTCGTGGTTATATTTAATTACTCTAACAAAGTATACGTATTTCATGCTTGCTTTTATTTGAAATAGCGTGAAATATATTTGCAGAAGTTCAAATTCCTTGGGAGAGTGGAGGGACAAATTGAGGAACTGAAAGGAGAAGTAAGGACGATGATGGCTGGTGTCGTGGATAAGCTTTCACAGATGGTTCACTTGACTGATCAAATCCAACGCTTGGGAATTGACTACCATTTTAAACGTGAAATAGATGAGCAATTGGAACAAATTTACAAAAGTTACTCTCAACTTGATCATGAAGATTTTAGGGTAGATGACCTTCACATGGTGGCTCTTATCTTTCGATTGTTGCAACAACAAGGTTACAATGTTTCATCGGGTATGACTTAAATGTAGTAAACCATTCCGATAAGATACCTATTAAAATCCTTCTATTGCTAGGTCGAATTTAAGGAGAAACATGTACAATAAAATCTATAACATTAACTGGGCATATCACATTCCTAATTTCTTGTCGATTGCATCTTTTTTCCCATGTTGGTTGGTTGCACAGAGGTCTTAAACCAATTCAAGGATAGTGAAGGGAACTTCCGGAAATCGCTCATCATCGATGCACGCGGATTACTGAGCCTATATGAAGCTTGCCATTTAAGGAGTCGTGGCGATTCTATCTTGGACGAAGCACTTCCTATTGCTATAACTTACCTTGAATCAATGGATGAGAGCCAAGTGAGCACTAGTCTTGCGAAACAAGTGAAACATGCCCTAAAGCAGCCACTTCACAAGGGATTGCCAAGGCTCGAGGCGAGGCGTTATATTCCACTCTACCAAGAAGAGCCTTCACATGACAAAGTCTTGCTCGCCTTGGCTAAACTAGATTTCAACTTACTACAAGAGCAACACCAGAAGGAACTTGGCCAGATTACTAGGTTCATTAACTTCATGTGATAGCATAATCTAAAATTAGCTTCTCGATGATGTTTTAACAATGCCCGAACTATTGATTATGTTTTAACAATTCCCGAACTATCGATTTTTCTTGTTGTGTTTTCCAAAGGTTAACTCGTCTAGTTTCAATTTACACTTCTAAATAGTGCTTTTTCAAAGTCCTTTACAAGTGACAAAAAGAGTTTAAAATATGTGAAGTCATCGGGCTAAAGTACTTTCAGTAACGCTCATGTTCGCTTAATCATAGGTGGTGGAAGGATATAGATGTTCCGAGGAAGTTCCCATTCGCTAGAGACAGGATTGTGGAATTGTTCTTCTGGATCACAGGAGTATATTTCGAGCCGGAGTTCACCATGGGCAGAGATATACTAACTAAAGTGATCTCCCTGACTTCCATTCTTGATGATATCTACGACGTCTATGGCACATTTGAAGAACTTACGCTCCTCACCAAAGCAATCCAGAAGTACGTAATCCGCGTTCTCTTTCTCAAACTTCTGAATTTGATCAATTTTGTATAGAGTCGAGTGTGTCATTTTCTAGGACTTTGAATTCAGGTGGGATGTTGATGCCATGGATGGATTGCCAGAGTATATGCAAGCCTATTACAAGGAGTTTTTCAGTCTCTATGAATATATAGGGAATCAATTGGCCACAAAAGGAAGGTCGTATCGCCTCGTCTATGCAAAAGAAGCCGTAAGCATCATCGGTACACTTTACATGCATCAAATATGTCGCGACCGAACTCCCGAGATTTTTTTTTTTAAAACATGCAAAAAGGGAGGATTCGCCTGGTACATATTAAGTCTAGGTTCAGGACTTAACTCGGGCTCTCCCAAGCCCATACCATATCGCGACTTAGGGTTTAAGTTTTTAACATGCAAATGGTTTATACCAAGGAGTCGTCACTAATCGATTTGGGGTGGGTCGATTAGAAACCCAAATAAGGTGATAGGAGGAACACCCTATTCCTACAAACCAGAGATTAACTGAGTTCGGGGACTTGGTTACACTAGTTGGATAACTAATGCCCTTTCGGTACCTTTTTACCCTGTTCATTTTATGAAAACATTTGTCAGGCAATTTAGATTGATTTTAGGACCTTTCTCCTAACATATGAGGTGATCAAGCGAGTACATAATCAGAAACGATTAGCAGTCAAAAACACAACAATTCATGCAGCCTAAGGTTCTAACCTTAACTGAGTCAGATGACATTCAAAAACACAACAGCTCATGCAATTGTATTAAAAACATGTATAACAATACAACGGTAATAACATACAAAATACTACCGCGCAATCCCAGGCTTGTCTAATTTAAGTATGGCAATTTATACAATTATAACAACATGCATAATAATACAAAAATAAATTAAAACACTTAGATATATCACAATAATTTTAAAAAAAGATCTTTTCTTTTTTTTATTTAAAAAAATTAATTTTTTTTAAAATTTTTTAAAATTTTTTTCGAGAAAAAAATAATAATAATAAAAAATTGATAATAATACAGAAAAAGAAGAAAAAAAAATTTGAAATTTTTTTTTGAAAGTTTTTTAATAATTTTTTATTTTTAAAATAAAATAATAATATAATAATAAACCGGGTCGGGTCGGATCCAATCCGGGTCAACGGATCCGATCCGGGTCAACGGATCCGACCCGGGCGTTGACCCGGGTCGAATCAGCTGAACCGGGTCGGTCAGACTGACCCGGGTCAATAGATCCGACCCGGGCATTGACCCGGGTCGGATCAGCTGAACCGGGTCGGTCAGACCGACCCGGGTCAACGGATCCAACCCGGGGCGTTGACCCGGCCGGGTCACCAACCGGCCGACCGAACCCGTGGGGCAGCCGCCGGCGAAGCCGAAAATCGGCCTCTCGCCGGCGGACCCAGACCGGCGCCGCCCCCAATTCGGCCCCTGGGACTAAAACCAAACCTCTCCACCTACCGGAGTCACCGTCCGACCGCCGTTCGCCGGCCGGCGATCAAAACGAAAACTGGTTTCATTGAGGACTTTTGTCGAGCAGGTGGTGTGCGCTACCAAAAACAGCAAATTCTGACCTGTTCCGGCGAACCGGAGGATTCAGGCGACCCAACCTACCTTCGGTGAGGACACACGGACGGCGGGGGACGACGGTATGGGCCGGGATTCGCGCGAAACGGCCGGCGCGAGTCCCGGCCAAACCGAGCAGAAAAACAGAGCAGAACAGAGGCGGTTCGGGCTGGGGGAGAGCTCACCGTCGACGGCGCGTCTGGGGCTTTCCGGTTGATCGGGGGGCGACGGCGACGCGGCTGGGAACCTGCAAGAACCAACTCTCCTCTCTTTCTCTCTCTATTTTCTCTCTTTCTCTCTCTGTTTTTCTCTCTCTGTTTCTCTTTGAAATTGGCCGACCGGCTCCTCTCCTCTCTTTCTCTGGTCTTATATGGTCGCGGTACGAGCACGGCGGTCGCCGGAAGATCTCTCAGTCTCTCTGTCTCGCTCAATCTCTCTCTTTCTCTCCCGGCTTCTCTCTGTTCTGTTTCTTTCGTAAAACGGCCGACCGGGCCTCTCTCTCTCTCTCTCCGGCTTTTATAGGCGGCAACGACGCGTCTCACCTGCTCTCGCGTCTGCATGACGACGGCCTGCACCGGGCTACACCACCCCACGACTTTCGTGGCCATGGCAGGCCGGTGCAGAGCAGAGCAGAGCAGGGGGGCCGGTTCAAAACAAACGCAGAGAGGAAGGAGGAGAGGATAAGGGAGCCGGGGGAACGAGGAGGACGGGACTGGCAATTAATGCCAGTCCCGTCGGCGTGCTCACCCGGCTCTGCTCTGGCCGGATAGCGACGCCGAGGAGCGGCGCCGCCGTGCGTCGGCGTGACGTCTCGAACAGGGGAGAACAGGGGCGAGAGAGCGACCGGCGAGGGGGAAGAAGAAAGGAAGGGGCTGGGCCAGGCCAGGCCCAGTCCACGCGGGGAGAGAAAAAAAAAGAAAAAGAAGTGGGCTGGGTCCGCGTGGGGGAGAAAAGAGAAACGGGCCGGGTCGCCCCGGCCAGACTCGATTTCTTTTTTTTATTTTACTCTAACAGACCCTATTAATACAAATATGCCTAAATTCTATATGCAATGCATTTAAATAGAAATATTTTTTTATTTTAGGAATTAAAGAAAATTAACTCCTAAATTTTGTGTACTTAATTTTGGGCAACTTAAAAATAGGTGTCAACAGAATACAAACTTTAGTTGGAAACCCGACATTCTTGTTTATGTTTAATTTCTCAGATGAAGAAGCTAGCGAGAGCGTACTTTCAGGAAGCCAAATGGTTCCATACCAACTACACACCAACACTGGAGGAGTACATGCCCCTTCAACTTTTAATGACTGGCTATGGAATGTTAGCGACTACATCACTTGTGGGAACGGGCGATGTGGTCACAAAACATGCTTTGGAATGGTCGATCGGTGACTGCAAGATTGTGAAGGCTGCCCAAACCGTCTCTAGGCTCATGGATGACGTTTCCTCTCATGAGGTATAACATAAACATAATTATCCTCCAGCAATCTAATAAAATTAGATCGATTACCAATTAATCTAATAACACGTATGTGGTTTGACATACAGTTTGAGCAGGAGAGGGGGCACGTGGTATCTGCAGTGGAGTTGCTCATGAAAGAACACGGCCTCTTGGAGCTGGAAGTTGTGGGGGTACTCCAGAAAGGAATCATCGATGCGTGGAAGGACATCAATGAGGAGTTTCTTCGTCCAACCGCGGTCCCAATGCCAATTCTCGTGCGAATACTCAATCTCGTGCGGGTGATGGATGTGTTATACAGCGATGGAGATAATTACACTCATTCTGGAACCAAGCTCAAAGATTATGTGACATCGCTCTTCGTTAATCCCTTGCCGATGTGATGTTTGGACCAAACGTCGTCACACCAGTTTGGTTATTGTCAATCAGTAATCTATTGATTATGCCTTTGAACTCCTATTTTCCCGGATGTAATATCATTACCTGCATGTACTTTCAGATTGATGTGCGTGATAAGACTCATAAATAAACCATGCATATGGGTATGGTGTTGCTATGTTTGCAAGTCTAGTGTATCATGCAATTGTAATATTTCAATAATTCCTAACGCTTGGGAAAATTGTCCAAAAAGTCCTAAACCTATTGTACCGCGGCCAATTCAGTTCTAAACCTTTCAACTGTGTCAATTTAGTACTAAAGCTTTTGATGATTTGCCAATTTAGTCATAAACATTTCAATTAAACCAATTTAGTCCTAAGCCTTTGGACGATTTGTCAATTTAGTCCTAAACATTTTGACAATTTTCTAATTTAGTCCTCCTAACTAATTTTGGCCGGATATCGACGTGGCGATCTTGTCAGCACCAATCGTCCTACGCGGAATTAGGGTTTGAAGAAAAGAAGGAATTTAGCCCCAATTCGTAAATTTGAGGTAAATAACACACATGGACAACGTCGTTTAGGGCAATTCATGCTGACTTACTTTACCAGTGAGCCATGTCGATCGCAAAAACATTAAACTATTTACATGTCAGATTTCCCGGCAAGCCAAATCAGCGATGGCACTAAAGTGGTTGTTTGTTTTTTTACAAAAGTGGCATTCAAGTTATCACTCAAAAGTTCTGACCGTACAAAAGTAATGACACTTTAATTGTCCTTTTTCCCATGAATATCCTATCATATGTTGGGTGCACCTAGAATAGGATTTTAAATCTTTGAAAATCCTCTAATGTGTCCCGCTACTCCGACCTTCACCCCACCAATGTGTGGCACTCCCCCATAGTGCCTCGAGGCTGCCGTCTATCCGTTACCCTCGTGATCGATTTCCTCGCGGTCGTCGTTGTCTACGCAACCCTCATGCAAGGATCGCAACCCCCTGTCCACGTCACCGAGACGGAGAGACAGAGCTCGAAGGGATTGATGTAAAACTGAGAATTATCAAAGGCCACTTGGACATAGTAATTGACTGGATTCCAGGAATGAAAGACATTAAATTGTGGGCCTGCCAACCTTCCTTCGTAGCTCAGATCCTGATGGTCTTCCATACCTTTGATGCCCTTGAGTCAGAATTGCTTAGTGCCGTATCATCAATTTTACTTCGTGTTTATGCAAATGGCCCACTCTCGTTACTTCAAAACAAACTAGCGAGGAAGAGAGCCCCCTGAAATCTATTTAGTGCAATGTGTGGAGAGAACATACAGTATCTTCGATAGCACATCTCAAAGGAAACGAACTTGCTTTTATACTTTAATTTTCACACCATAGCTGTCTTGACAAGAGAAGAGCTTATGGCTTTGCAACAAGACTGGCCAACAGCAAACATCCATACTTGTCGATAATTAGGCCCGACCTCGTAAGTGGGGGGGATTCAGCAGTTCTTTCCCTAGGAATACGTTGAAGAAACAGACGAAAGGAATATGCTTGTAGATTGGTGTCCACGGGAGGCAATTCTCAACCACTTGTCAATTAGAGGATTCTTAATGGTGGTAGAGGCCATGCAGCATCATCGGAAGGTGTTCATGACGAGGACAGTGGAAGGTGGCGATTTGGACAAAGATGGAGATGTCAATTGGGAAGCTACGGTTAATTGGCCGTTGACAACAATTACAGCTTGTTCTTCTTGATTTCTTAAGATATATTTTTTTTATTTTTTATCCAATTCGGTTTTATCCCATTCCCTTACTCAGATTTCTTTTCCAGCATTTTATATATATGGATTAGGATAATGACACAAACGATCCCTGAACTTTAGCCCAATATACAATGTAATCTATGAACTTTTAATTTATTCAATATGGCCACTGATTTTTCGGTAAATGTTCAAAATAGTCCCTAGATAATATGAAAATATCCAATATTATCCTTTCATTAATTTAAGTTAAGGAAGAACATTGAACATTTTTATATAGTCTAGGGACTAGCTTGAATATGTACCAAAATTTCAAGTACCACATTGAATAAATTAGGGATAATGACACAAATTGTCCCTGAAATTTGACCCAATGTACAATGTGGTTCTTGAACTTTTAATTTGTTCAATGTGGTCTCTGAACTTTAGCACAATGTGCAATGTAGTCGTTAACTTTTAATTTGTTTAATGTGATCCCTAAAATTTTGGTATATGTTTAAGCTAATCCCTGAATTATATGAAAATGTTTTTTAGGAAACGATCGAAGCTCCTCTTTTGTAAAATCAAAACATTGATACCGATCACAATCTTATATGTCAAGATTTGGGAATGAACTGTAACACTGCAAATCCAGTGTGAAATTGAAAAGGCGTTGTTAAACGAGAGATAAGTAAGAACAATCCTAGATGGTGGATTTATATTAGATCTGTCAAACGAGTAGGTCGGGTTGAGGCGGGTTATAAATGGTCCAACTCAAATTGACCAATTAACTTGTTTATGACCTATTTATATATAATACAAATTTCTCGACCCATTCATACTCGACTCATATTGTTAAAACACTTTCATATTTAACCAAATCTAGGAAAAATTGTTTCTTATGAATTTTTTAAAAAATTATATTGCTAAAACAATTCCATGCATTGCAAATCTAGTGGATAATTTTTATAATTTCTTTTTTAAAAAATTTTACATTTTTTCTTTTTTCTTTTTTCTTTCTTTCCTTTTCGTTTTTTTTTCTTCTACGTCCGGCGACTCTCGCCAGCCACTGGGTGAGAGCTCAAGGCCCTCACCGGCTGCGGACAAGGGTCCCGACCCTCACTCAGACCTAGCGAGGGCCGCGAACACCTTGCCGGCAACAGGTGAGGGTCACAACCCTTGCCCCAACGTATGAGAAAGAGAAGATTTACCAAATATCTCTAAGCTTAACTAGAAGAGGGAAAGATAAAATCTGCCAAATATCTCTAACTAATTATAAAGATATGCTAGATATTATGCTAACTAAAAATAAAAAAGTAAAAAGTAAATCTTAACTAAAAATAAGAGATACACAAAATATTAAAAAAACTAGAATGTAAACCTTTAGCAAATCTTCAATAATAGCCCTAAGCAACACAAGGACGACGCCTATGATGGGAGCCGTCCTTAAAGAGTCAGTCTAAAGACGGCTTTCACCAACCATAAAAAGGCACGTGTGTTTTCTTAGGCCGATTGCTCCATAATTGGAGGCTTTCAGTTTGCTGAATAAATAAACTAAGCTAATCTTGTAAAATTACATAGTAATAATTCTTCTCCGGAAATTGGGTATGCCAGACCTTTCAGTCATATTATAGCATACGTGAGCTTATGAGTTATGATTGCGAAAGTATTTATAAGTTGTATAAATACCAATATTTCGAAATAGAAAAAATAGAATAAAGATAAAGGGAAAAAATAGACAAAAGAAAATTGAGAAAGAAAGAAAATTTTCAAATTAGGGCCCGAAGTAGGGCGGTTTTCTCAAAAGAGAGTTTGAAGTTAACACTGTCTCAAATAAGGGCCTCAATTGACCGATTTATTCTCAAATAAGGGCGGTGAATTCACTAAAAAACCCTCAACTTTAGGTCAAATCCCAAATTTGCCCCGAATTTTGTTGTGTAAAAAAAATTAGCAAATTTGAATTTATTTTCAAAAATATACCCATGTGATCTAGTCTCAACTTGACGTGACACTTCCACGTCGATAACAAATCAACATTAGCAAAGTAATTGGGCGATAGGTACAGACCGACGTCGCATTTCCACTTCGATAACAAATCCAACCCAATAAAAATTGTTGAAATTCTCCAAAATAAAACCATTCTAGGATATGAAAGTTAGGGACGATAACAAATCCACCCCAAAAAACTTTGTTTAATTTTTAAAAAAACCTAATTTTTAGGTTCAGTCCAAATTTGCTTCGAACTTTTCTTTGTTTAAAATAAAGCCTCGTTACTCTGTTGATGTGGATTTGTTATCGATGTGGAAGTACCACGTCAAGTTGGGACTGGATCACGGGGTATATTTTTTAAAATAAATTGAATTTTGGTGATTTTTTTCACGAAACAAAATTTGGGGCAGATTTGGGACTGGACTTAAAATTTGGGGTTTTTTATGAGATAAAAAAAAGTTCGGGATAGATTTGGGACTGAACCTAAAGTTTGGGGTTTTTTTCGAAACAAAAAAAATTCGGGACAGATTTGGGACTTGACCTAAAATTTTGGGTTTTTTAGGGAACTAGGCCCCTATAAGGGCCTAGTTCCACCAACTAGCCAAATCTTGTCCACGTCTAGGGGCATTCTCGTCCCAGTTCATTATTTTTTCTTTATTTTTCTTTGGCCCTGTCTCTTTGTTTCATTTTTTTGTTGAAAGTGGCCTAGAAAGGGTTGCCGAGTGCATGAACGATGGCTTTCAACAGAGACTGGAAATGGGCATTCAGCCGAGACCCATCGAACTGCTGCATAGATGTCTATACACCACATAACGGGATTCCAGACTGACTGCTACGACGAAACAGAGATTACTCTTAAAACTTTGAGGGGTAAGAATTTGATCATAGATATGTGGGTTGCAGCACAGCCTCCCTTCACTTTTTAGCAATGATGATGACAATGGCCAGTGACTCCGAGGCTCCACCTGCAACACCCACTGCAGCGCCAAGAAACGCCATTTTTTTCCATTCCAAGACATAAACTCTAGTTTCGTCCCAGATAGCATCAAGGAAAAAGAAGGAGATTGAAGAAGAGTCACCGGGGACGGAAGCAAGAATTGTTGGGTGATGTATCATGAAACCCAAGCACTTCATGGCCTGGACAGCACTGCACAACATTTCAAAAGACAGAGAAAAGTTAGAAACACGACATGTTACGAGAAAAAATAAGAACCCTTATGATCCATAATCATTCTCTCTCAAACATTGTGAAAACAAATACTCCATTACCATTACAAAAACTTTAGTATTTCACTCTTCTTTTTTAAACAACATTTCATTTCTAAGAGAGATAATAGCAATTAAAAGCTTAAACCAGCCGAATATTGGCGGTGCAGTACCGGACTGTCCACTTCATTAATCAAACGGGGTCGTGAATTCATGAAAAAATTAACAAAAAGGACGAGTTGGGATAGACTGAAAAAAAACCCACATTTCTTCATCTTCTTCACGTACATCACCGACAAGAAGCGAGATTAGCCTGCGAGAACGATCGGCGAGGGCTTACATTGCATCGTGGTCGGAAACTGACTGTTCTTGGAGACGTAAAAGAGTGGAGTAGGTGAGTGACTTGCTGGCTCCGACGTCCAGAGATACGAGGATTTGGGTGATTTCTTCGAGCTTGGTGGAGAAATCAGACATCCTTACCACGAAGAACGATCAAAAGATTGCAGATTTCGGAAGATACGGAGCTTCGGTCTTGACGATGAATAAACAAAGAAAGAAAGAAAAAGAAAAATATATATACTGGGACGAGAATACCCCTGGACGTGGACAATATTTGGTTAGTTGGTGAGACAAGGCCTTTATTCAATACTAAATTGGCCCTCCGTACCATTATTTGAGATATGGTTCACTTCAGGCTATATTTTGAGAAAACGGCCCCATTTCGGACTCTTATTTGAAATTTTACTGAGAAAGAATAAAAAAAAAAGGGAAGAGAGACTTGTTTAGAGAAAGGGGACACGAGTGGAGGGTGAGTTCTTGAAAGGATGACACAGTCCCTCCTAAGAACTCTCCTTTCATATAAAAGTACAGATTTCTATAAATTATGTCAAAGTTTGGTATGTTAATCAAACCCATTTCTCGATTCAATAGGGTCCTAAATAAGGAGAGAGATTTAAAAAGCGGGTCCGATTGCGCCTATTCCTAATCCTAAATGAAATGAAACAACATAGGGATCCATATGTAAGTCGGCCTAAACCAGAGGCAGGTATAAATGCTATAACAAAACTTCGTAAGAAATCTATCTTAGGAAATCTAGGGTAGGGCTCTTTTAACTAATGTGTATAATTTACAGTTGTTACCAAAAAGGTATCACTTTGTAGTCGGCAGGTGCGTGAAGTTACTTTGACAAAGACATAAGAATTTGTCCAATGTTGAAAAAAGTGACGGCAGTGAACTCTACACTGGTGAAATCTTAACGCCCGGGATTGGTAGGTCTTAAAAAAAAAGGTCCAAGTGCGAGGAGGTTACGAACATGGTGTCTATAAATAAATACCCTTGAAGTATTGATGTTTTGCAACGCAGAGAAAGCCTCTCCTGGCTCTTCCATTTGTGCATTGGTCTGACATCCACAAACGAAACGTAAGAACAGAGTGAATATGTCGCAGGTTTCAGCAATTCCATCTTCTTCTCCGAACAAAGGAGCAGGCCCCGTGATCCAACGTAAGTCGGCGGGTTATCATCCGAGCGTATGGGGGGATTACTTCCTTAAATATGCTTCTCCCTCCAACTCAGTGGTTAGCAATTCTGTCATCTTCTTCTTTTGTTTTCTCGCAATTGCATTCTGCAGACGTCGCTTATATGATTCCAATTGGTTTCGTATCTATACATGTTCCCGACAAAAAGAGACAGTTAAAAATCATAAAAAGATGAAAGAAGGTTTAAAAACAACAATAACACTTGTAACTTCACCGACCACAGTATGTCCTCTGCTACAAGAAACATCTCATTATGGCATTAACCCCCTCCTCTCATACGGTCGTGGTTCTCATGGGTCCGCTTTCACATGTCATGTGAAAGCTAAATAGGTACACAGACGGGGCCATCAAAATTGAGTTAATTTTGTAAAGTATACGTATTTCATGCTCGCTTTTATCTGAAATAGCGTGTAATATATTTGCAGAAGTTCAAATTCCTTGGAAGAGTGGAGGGACAAATCGAGGAACTGAAAGGAGAGGTGAGGAAGATGCTGGCTGGTGTCATGGATAAGCCTTCACGGATGCTTCACTGGATTGATCAGATCCAACGCTTGGGAATTGATTACCATTTTGAAAGTGAAATAGATGAGCAATTAGAACAAATCCACAAAAGTTACTCTCAACTTGTTCATGAAGATTTTAAGGTAGATGACCTTCACATGGTCGCTCTTATCTTTCGATTGCTGCGACAACAAGGTTACAATGTTTCATCGGGTACGTCTTAAGTGTAGTGAACCAATCCTACAAGATACCTATTAAAATCCTTCTATTGCTAAGTCGAATTTCCGGAGAAACGTGTACAAGAAAATCTATAACATTAACCGGGCGTATCACCTTCCTAATTTCTAATCGATTGCATCTTTTTTTCTCGTGTTGGTTGGTTGCACAGAGGTCCTTAACAAATTCAAGGATAGTGAAGGGAACTTCCAGGAATCGCTCATCACCGATGCGCGCGGATTGCTGAGCTTATACGAAGCTTGCCATTTAAGGTGTCATGGGGATTCTATCTTGGACGAAGCACTTCCTTTTGCTATAGCTCACCTTGAATCAATCGACGAAAGCAAAGTGAGCACTAGTCTTGCGAAACAGGTGAAGCATGCCCTAAAGCAGCCACTTCGCAGGGGATTGCCGAGGCTCGAGGCTAGGCGTTATATTCCACTCTACCAAGAAGAGCCTTCACATGACGAAGTCTTGCTCGCCTTGGCTAAACTAGATTTCAATTTACTACAAGAGCAACACCAGAAGGAACTCGGCAAGATTACTAGGTTCATTAACTTCATGTGATAGCATAATCTAAAATTCGCTTCTCGATGATGTTTTTACAAGGCCCAAACTAACGAGTATAGATTAACTCATCTAGTTTCAAATTACCCTTCTAAATAGTGCTTTTGAAAGTCCTTTACCAGTGAAAAAAAAAGGAGTTTAAAATATGCAAAGTCATCAGGCTAAAGTACTTTAAGTAACGCTCATGTTTGCTTAATCTTAGGTGGTGGAAGGATATAGATGTTCCGAGGAAGTTCCCATTCGCTAGAGACAGGATTGTGGAGATGTTCTTCTGGACCACAGGAGTATATTTCGAGCCAGAGTTTGCCATGGGCAGAGATATACTAACCAGAGTGATCTCCCTGACTTCCATTCTTGACGATATCTACGACGTCTATGGCACATTGGAAGAACTTACGCTCCTCACCGAAGCAATCCAGAAGTACGTAATCCGCATTCTCTTTCTCAAACTTCTGAATTTGATCAATTTTGTATAAAGTCAAGTGTATCATTTTCCGGGACTTGAATTCAGGTGGGATGTTGACGCCGTGGATGGATTACCAGAGTATATGCAAGCTTATTACAAGGAGTTTCTCCGTCTCTATGAATATATTGAGAATCAATTGGCCACAAAAGGAAGGTCGTACCGCCTCATCTATGCAAAAGAAGTCGTAAGCATCATCGGTACACTTTACATGCATCGAATATAACCTTTAGTTAGAAACCCGACATTCTTGTTTATGTTTAATTTCTCAGATGAAGAAGCTAGTGAGAGCGTACTATCAGGAAGCCAAATGGTTCCACACCAATTACATACCAACACTGGAGGAGTACATGCCCCTTCAACTGATAACGACTGGCTATGGAATGTTAGCGACTACATCACTTGTGGGAATGGGCGATGTGGTCACAAAACATGCTTTGGAATGGTCGATCGGTGACTGCAAGATCGTGAAGGCTGCCCAAACCATCTGCAGGCTCATGGATGACGTTTCCTCTCACCAGGTACAATAAAAACATAATTATCCTCCAACAATCTAAAAAAAATTAGATCGACCACCACTTAATCTAATAACACCAATGTCGTTTGACATACAGTTTGAGCAAGAGAGGGGGCACGTAGTATCTGCGGTGGAGTTGCTCATGAAATACCATGGCGTCTCGGAGCAGGAAGCTGGGGAGGAACTCCATAAAGGAGTGATTGATGCGTGGAAGGACACCAATGAAGAGTTTCTTCGTCCAACTGCAGTCCCAATGCCTATTCTCACACGAATGCTCAATTTCTCACGGGTGATGGATGTGTTATACAGTGATGGAGATAATTACACCCATTCCGGAACCAAGCTCAAAGATTATGTGACATTGCTCTTTGTTAATCCCTTGCCAATGTGATGTTTGGACCAAATGTCGTCACACCAATTTGATCATTGTAAATCAGTAGTCTATTGATTGTGCCTTTGAACTCCTATTTTGCCTGGATGTATGAGGGAAAATATCATTACCTACCTGTACTTTCAGATTGATGTGCGTGATAAGACTCATAAATAAACCAACATGGGTATGGTGTTGCTATGTTTGCAAGTCTAGTGTATCATGTAATTGTAATATTTCAATAATTCCTAATGCTGGGGAAAATTGTCCAAAAAGTCATAAACTTATTGTGCAACGGCTAATTCAGTTCTAAACCTTTCAATTGTATCAATTTAGAACTAATCATTTCGACGATTCGCCAATTTAGTCATAAACATTTCAATTATACCAATTTAGTCATAAACCTATAGATGGTTTGGCAATTTAGTTCTAAATATTTTGACAATTTTTCAATTTAGTTCTTTTAACTAATTTTGGCCGGATATCGCCGACGTGGCAGTCTGATCAGCGCCATTCGTCCTAAGTGGAATTAAGGTTTGAAGTAAAGAAGGAATTTAGCCCCAATTCGTAAATTTGAGGTAAATAACACACATGGACGACATCATTTAGGACAATTCATGTTGACTTACTTTACCAGTGAGCCACGTCGGTCGGAAAAACATTAAACTATTGACACGTCGGATTTCCCGACAAGCCAAATCAGCGATGGCACTAAAGTGGTTGTTTTTTGGGATATGTTCACTAGAAGTCCTAAAACTTATCGCGAAAATGCAATTGAGTCCTAAAACTTACAAAAAGTGCAATCGAGTCCTAAAGTTAACACCGTCAATTTGTCTAACGAAAAATGCTGACGTGACATTTTAAAATAAATTTCTCTTTCCTAGGTGGCATTTTTTTATTACTATTCTATTCAAATCTTATATAAATTGAATTAAAAAACTAAAAAATCTAAAAATTACTTAAAAAAACAAAATCGAAAAAAAAAAGCTAGGGCTAAGGTGGGAGTTGTGGCTGCCGCCCATCGCTGGAGGGGGGCCAACGGAGGTCACCGGAGGGGCTAGCTGAGGTCGCCGTCCCCGAACGAGGGTGGTCGGCCTTCGCCAGCCCCGGGCAAGGCCTCGCTGACCCCAGGCGAGGGCCGGCGACCCTGGTAAGGCCCAGCGAGGGCGCCTAGATCTAGTTAACGCCAGTGCTCGCCTGGGCCTAGCGAGGGTCACCGACCCTCGCCGACCTCAAGCAAAGGCCGGGTGTCACCCAGATTTGGGTGCCCTCAACCCAAATCTAGGCGAGCCTCGCTGCCCCAGACGAGGGTTGGCAAGGCCTCGCCGGGGGCGAGCGATAGTGGCCGGCCCTAGGCGAGGGCCGGCA